AGGTCTAAGGACTGATGTCAGTGCAGCAGAGGCGGCGCGGGTTATCGGTCACGGCAAAGAGGACAAGACAAAGAAATAAAGGGAAGAAAAAGGAGGGATGAAGACAGAGACAGTGTGACATAAAGGGAGACAGAAACAGAAGCCCGCTCTCAACACAAACTGTTTTATCTGTTGACACCCACTGCCTCCTGACATGCTGCATCAGCTGCACTTATTACCACCTTCCCCCGGAGACACACCAGTGTGTCACCCGGACACACAAAGAGGACAGTTTATGTGTCACCGTGCACACGCGGCGAACATGCAGAGGTTGGCGCTGCAGCACAAACACACAGGACACCAATGTTCCATAGGGTTCAAACGTGCGGCGCTGTAGTCATTTCCAGAGGCAGACAGGTGGGTGTGATGGGTTAAAAGCCTTTCCTGGTTTACTGGGCGACGATATGACAGCCCTGCAACCAGCCTACACAGGTCACTGAACAGCTCCACAGAGTGTGTGTGTGTGTGTGTGTTTGGGCAGGGGGATTCTCCTATAGCACAGGATGTTTTTAAAAAAAGGCTGTAAATTACCTGAGCTGTAAAACAGTGGTTTCAGAACTGGGTCGAGGTCTACAGGTGGGTATCACTGCGTGCAACATGGTGGCAGATGTGATCGGCGCCTTTGCCTTACAGCAAGGAGCTCTCCGGTTGTCCCCTTTACGGATAAGATTAATTAATAAATCTTGATTGACTAGTGAAGGACTTACTCTCCCTTACTCCCACCAGGCTAACCAGTGTTAGCCAAGACTACAATAATAAATAAATAAAAATTAAAAAATTAAAAAAAATAAATAATAAAATTTCAAATGAGTCACAGACACACAGTAAGAGGCACATTATCAGTGCTGAGAGAATTTCCTACAATGTTGAACACTGCCGCTAGCTGTGCTGCTAACGTTCCCCAGTGAAGCTCGCCAACTGAATTTTAAATCAAATAAAGTCAAAATTTGCACAGAATGTTCTGCAGGACACAATTTATAAAAAACATTTTTTTTAACCCTAATAAAATGACAATTACACTCCAAACTGAGCTGTGTTGGTCTGTTATCTGTATAAAAACAGATCCCCTTGTGGAGAACTGGGGAAATACAGCTGCATAGGACGGTTGTTTGCACATATAGAATATAAATGATAAGTAAACGTGAGTCATGACTGTGTGAATGCTGTTTCATTTGAATGTTTGTGGAGCTTGTTACATCAGGAGACTTAAAGTGCTGTGAAAACTCTGTGAGAGAGAGGAAAAAAAACCCACTTGGTAAAAGTAGAGGCTTTAAAAGCAGCAGGTACCTAAAGTAAACATTTAAACTTCAAATATCTGTCTGTGACATTTTAGAGTTTAACACATCTCTATTTTAGGTTTGCCTAAACTGTTGCCAAGCAAAACAAGTCCAAACTTTCTTCACAGGCGTAGGTGAAAAGTTGCCAAGCAACACAAACTTTCTGAAGTTTCTGCTGCGTCGCCAGGTGGAGAATTATGCGTAATTTGTAAGGTAAAGTTAACAAAGAGAAGAAGAGAGACTAAAAATGAAATATTGTATCGATGCATTATTCCCAGACCCTTGAACTGAACCAAAACCTCAGTTCACAACACAGTGTTGGACTCACTCAGAGAGTGAATAAAGAAATGAAAATAGCCCTTAATGAGTAACACATATGACAAATATGGCACGTCACAGCTTTCTGTACAAACAGGGAAAAATGTCTTTTAACACCTTGTATTAATGTTAACAATTCATACAGATTTATTTTTAAATCTAATGAATCTCAGCCACTAGATGGCAATATTTCCCCATACTTTTAATCACACCCAGTGCTGAGGTTTTTTTCGACTTCTGCAATGCTGTTACAGAGCCTCCCTCTAGTTTTAACACAGACCAGTGGTTATTACTGCGTCCTTGTCCAGGTCTCTGTCTCTGTCTCTTCCACAGAAACCAGAAAAGAACATGTTTGATTTTTAGGTGCTGTAAGGACACTAAATAATGCAATATTTTGAATGTATTTTATTTTATGAGCTTAAATTAATTAGTCCTGTTAATTCTAGGTTTAAATCTAGGTTTAAAAAATAGTAAAAAAAATAAGATAAGTCAAATTAAACTTCCTGCACAACAGATGAACAGAAAGTGAGCAGAGCTTTGACACCAATTTCAAATTTCTCCAACACTCTCCTGCTTTCCAGTATACAAAGTACCATTTAAACTGTGTAGCAGTTGAGTAATTCCTCCTCGTCTTTTCGTCTGTCAACAGGTTGACCAGTGTGCAGCTCGATGTGGTGAAGGCCTGTTAGAGTATTGGGTCACTGTTGTATTGCGTTTTCCCACAGAGTTCAGCGTCAGGGAATCCCTCGTCTAGACACTGGTTTTACATCAGGGTTTATAAAACTTTGAACTTGAGTTATAGACTTAAAAATATCCCACGCTGCTTTCTATCAAAACCATTTCACTGACTGTTTTTTCCCCCCAGCTACAACACCTGGTGGCGGTGATGCATATTCATACCCTCAACATAAATATGGTGATTTAAAAAAACGCTGTTTGGCTCGACTGAGCGTCTGTGCACTGTCCAGAACCAGGGACGCATATTCAGGTGCGTGTTTGCTGCTTTGTATAAACGCACAGGAGTTTGTGTGTGTGTGTGCCTTGAAGCCAGAGCCTGGCCGGTGCAAAAAAAAAAAAAAAAAAAAATCATGAATGTGTAAACAATGTGCTCTGCAATTCCCAATCAACACCTCCACACCACCCACACCTGGTAATCAGAGGGAAAAGAGAACAAAGACAGAAAAGCCATCACGGGCATCGGTCTGTAATCAAAGTTGACAGAGGGGAGAAATAAACATGCTAATCAATGCTGCTTCATATCCAGTACAGTTGGGGTCATTCTTTGTTTCTTCTCCTGGAGGTAAACTTGGCACAAACTACCATTATATTGTAGACAACAACTCTGTCCAAACATATGACAGCACGCGCACACACATACACACACACACACACACGCACGCCCCTGCACTCAAACATGACAGATTTAAAAAGATGCCAAGAGCTGTGAGAAGAGGCCAATTAACCCTGAGACACAACATGGCAACGATTCACAGACGGCGTATGTTTTCTTAGCTGCTCTGTTTAGCCGCAGTGTGAACACGCTGATGTGTTGATGAGCTACGATCATGCCCTACCTCAGTGGTTCTCAAACTGTGGTACGTGTACCACCGGTGGTACGACAGCGCTCTCTAGTGGTTCACGGGGAAAGTTCATATTTTCACATTTACATTTTTAATTGAATAAACCTGAAATATACCATGTACAATTAATACAAC